TATGGTCCAAGTCCTGTTAGAGAAATGGGATCGAAAATGCCTCGTGACAAATGTTTTGTATTTCCATAAGGGTCATTTAAGCATAAAAACACGTGATATATTGATATTGATAGCAAATATCCTTTTTGAGAAATTTGGCTTCAAAGTTGAAAAATGTTTCTTCAAATGTTCATCTAAATTGAGAGAATATTCTTGAGATAATCCTTTGCCATTATCGCTTAGTAGACAAGATTAACCATGAACTCCTGTGTGCAACATTTCATTAAATTCTGAACCCTTCGAGCCATTTTATCCGCAGTTCTCCGCAGTTCAGTGATGGTCTCTAAATTTGAATTAACTTCAAAACATTTGGGAGCACTTTGAAGAAATACCATGCGAGCATTTCCAGCCCAAAACGCAAACCGGTTGGTCATGAGTGTTTACGATTTGAATGAAACATTTCTCACGTGTTCGCTGCTACTAATGGTTGAATTTTTCATTTAAATTAGATTTTTTTCTCCAGAGTAACTTTTGAAAAGGGCGTATAAAAAATGGATTATTTTTTTTTTCAAAAAATCATAACTTGAAAATTATTGATCTGATCAAAATGGCATATGAAAAAAAGTTTTAGGTAGTTAAATTATCTTTGCGGAAAAAAATACACTAAAAGAAAAACTTAGTAAATTAGTATTTAAAAAACGTAAAACGATGATTATCTCAAAACACCCCCCCTTCGATCTTCATAATTTTTTTTTTCAAGAAAACTGAAAAAATGCCCTAATATTTGGTAAAGAGTGTATGCTGGTAACTTTCTTAAAAAAAAATTTATAATTTTTGAAATTTTTTTTGGTTTTTACAAGTTGGTGAAATTACATATTTTAAAGTAAAATAGTAATTTATTTGGATTCTACGCATAATTTTCAAAAACTTTGTATAAAAAAACTTTTTTCCTAAGTCCAGCCGTTCTCAAGTTAATGCAATTTAAAAAAAATAATTATGATAATTTTCTACATTTTGGGCCATTTCCAAATGTAAGTCGTGATGTCCAGCAACGAGATGTTTTTCCATGAATATATATTAAAAAACAGACAATTCATTCTCAAATATGGTAGCTGTCAGACTTACCCGTTTCTATTTAGACGCAGCGGAAAAGAAACAAGTTTATAAGTAAATACTCTCAAATATACCCAAATAATCAACAAACCCACTCATGTGCCTTTTTTCTGTCCTCTATTAGTTGTTTACCTGTATAGAATTGTGTATGTCATAACAGAGGCTCAAAACATAAACAGGTAAACAAATATGTTATTAAACCTGTAATTGAGGTAAATTATCTAGGTACTTCTCTGACGTATACCATATTGTGCCTTAAGAGCTCATCCCGCGATATCACAACATAAAAAAGCACCCCGTGGAGGCTTCTTACACTCACACCTAAAAAAGTTTGCTATAATCAATTGTACCTAATGAAGATAGGTATAATGTCAACATTGTAATTATTCTGCTACATATATATATATATATTGGGACGATCTTCACCTGTTCCATTCAGTTCATCTCTCTTAGCGTTTCAAGTTAAAAAGCAAGTAGTTTTTTACGATGGATAACAATTTCAAGTGTTGTAAACCTCTACCTAAATCAATTTCAAATAATGACACAGTAGCAGTTCAGTTGTTTATCTCAAAATTATTAGAATTTTTAAAGTTGCAAATAACAGTCCAAAAGTGTATTTTTATGTCAGATGTAGATGTAGATGTAGAAATTGAATGGCATTTTTTTGCAACTTCACACGGCAAAGGTCCTTGTGATGCGATTGGCGGTACCCTTAAGAGAATGGCAACCAGAGCAAGTTTAGCTAAGCAACACGAGCACCCTATAACGAACCCTAAACAACTGTACGACTGGGCAAATAGTCGTAAAGAAGATCTTCAAACAAAAATGTCATTTTGTTATGTTTCTACGGAAGAATTATTATTATTTAGCTTTATTTAGGAGGCTTTCAGCCTTAGGCTGGTTCACCTCCAAATATTCTACGGAAGAATACAAAAAGGCTGACACGGAATTTGATCCAATTTTTAAGAAAGTGAAACCAATTCCTGGAACTCGAAAATATCATTGCTATATTCCAGTTTCAAACAACCAAATTGCAGTAAAAATATTCTCTAATTTAAACGATACACCCAAATTATTCAATGTATTCAAATAATATGAGTTGTAAAATAAAATAATAAATATATACTGTTTTTTATCTCAACCAATCTTTCATTTGACCACATCAACGTGCTTCTCTTCCGCTGCCTCTAGATAGAAACGGGTAAGTCTGACATCTACCATATCTGAGAATGAATTGTTTGTTTTTTAATATACAATCATGAAATAAAATCTAGTTGCTAGACATCTCGACGAACATTTGAAAATGGCCTAAAATTTTGAAAATTGTTATAATTATATTTTTTTAATTCGCATTAACTTGAGAACGGCTGGACTTAGGAAAAAAGTTTCTTTATACAAAGTTTTTGAAAATTATGCGTAGAATCCAAATAAATTATTATTTTTCAAAAAAATATGCATTTTCATCAACTTGTTAAAATCAACAAAAATTTAAAAAATTATAGATTTCTTTTTAAGGAAGTTACCAGCATACACTTTTCACGAAATTTAAGGGTATTCCATCAATTTTCTTGAAAAAAAAAAATTATGAAGATCGAAGGGGGGGTGTTTTGAGATAATCATCGTTTTACGTTTTTTAAATACTAATTTACTAAGTTTTTCTTTCAGTGTATTTTTTTTCGCAAAGATAATTTAACTACCTAAAACTTTTTTTCATATGCTATTTTGATCAGATCAATAATTTTCAAGTTATGATTTTTTGAAAAAAAAATAATCCATTTTTTTATACGCCCTTTTCAAAAGTTACTCTGGAGGAAAAAATCATATTTAAAAGAAAAATGCAACCATTAGTAGCAGCGAACACGTGAGCAATGTTTCATTCAAATCAGAAGGGGTCGAGACAAAATTGACAATTTTTTTAACGATTTGAGCTAGAAATGCTCATGCACCTTGGGGAAATATCGAGAGCTCCGGAGAAGAGTTATGAATATCAGAAAAAAAATCTACGGGAGCTTAAGGAAAGTTCCGTGAATTTTAGGGAAGTCCAGAGAACTCTAATTTACTGAGAAGTTAAAAGAACTTCTGGGGTGTAAATATATCTTTAGGGAAGTCTCGACTGTAGGGAATGATTAAAGATCTTCAAGAGAATATTCAGACAATTTCGTACATTTCAGCAAAATGATGAAAACTTCATCGAAGATCGAGAGTAGTTTTTAGGAGAACTTCAGAGCAGTTCTGACGAGAACTTAGTTCTGAGGAGAACTTCAGAGTAGTTATGAGGAGAAGTTCAAAGTAATGCTGAGGAGACCTTCAGAGTAGTTCTGATGAAAACTTCAGAGTAGTTATGAGGATAACTTCAGAGTTGTTCTGAGGAGAAATTAAAAAGTAGTTCTGAAGAGACCCTAGACCTTGGATGATTATTTGGTTCACATCTTGAAGGTTCTGGTTAATTCAAAATTACATACAACTGAAAACATTGAGCACCTCTGAGGTTGCATCTCAACCGCACAATGTTAAAATTTGTGGGTTGTCAAACGGATTTCAGTGTATTGTAAATTTTGCGCTTGCTCTATCATTGTGTTCAGTCCTGGATATTGTCCAAGCCCAAAATCCTGGATTGAGAACTGAGACTTCCAAATATACCATGCTTATCAGCAAAACAATTGGCTCTAATCATCAATCTTTACGAGTGACTTTTACAATGCACCCCCAAGAGAATCTAAAGCATCTGAGTTCTCGGAAGAACATCACATTTACCGCATCAGCCACAACATGCGTCAATATTACACGACCCGTTTTCCACGGAAAAGGAAGCTCTTCGCTCGCAGTCAATCACGTACCAATGGAGAGCTCTGCCGAATCGCACATGCAAATATTGAATCGCGTTTCATATTATAATGTAATAATCTCATCTGCAAATTTGAATTTCTTCGGCCTCCCTCTTCTCGCCGCCGCGGCCGTTTTTTTTGCCTTGGAAAAACAGATTTCCATCTCCAACTTTTTGCCATTTTTTTTTTGCATCTGATTCGTGTTCCACCAACTGGCTTCATCGGATTGCACAAAAAACAAAATCACCGAACCAATAGAGGCTGGAATAGTTCTTCCAAGAAATGGTCCTATCTTGGCCAAAGAAAACTTTTCAATTGATTCCAACTTTTTTCCTCGTCCCCTGGCACTGGTTTGTCTGGCTTGGTTTTCGCTTTCGCGTCATTTGGTGCGAACTAAGTAGGCGACTCTGCTGGCTAGCCAGCTACGTTTACGGATTCGGTAGCAGCTGGCTTTGTGACGAAAACTTTCCCCGAGTTTCCGAGTGGGACCACTTGGATGCTTTCAACCCCTCAGTTTCAACCCAACCACCGCATTCTTTCGCAGATTGGGAAGATATCGATGACAGCGACATCAGCGCGGGTGTGGCATTGTATCGGTCGGGGGAAAAATTGGCATTCGAACGATGATGGGGAAATCTACTGGATCTGGATTGGTAAAGCATAGTTCTGATTCTGGAGGGCTGGGGCGGAGCAGTCGATTCAATTAATTTCCAACTTGCTCTTTGAGCGAATTCTTGATAGGGTCAGGAGAAGAGTTTAATTGAATTGCATTAAATTCTTCCTACAATGCGATGCCAACATTCCATTAGGGCGAAACTGCCGAATTTTCGTAAATAGAAGCTCCGGTCTGCACATTAACGATACCAGAATGTGTGAGCTTTCATTCGCGAGAAATCGACTCACCACGCCAAGGTTGTTAAACCGCGTTGGGAAGTAGAGATTCTCGCCAAAGCTTTCCGGTAATCAAGTATTGTTTGCGAAGCGAAACGGTGTTGACGGGAGAACTTTCGGTGGTTTCATTTTCAAAATCTCAGGTAATTAAATCCCCACTGTCATCGTTCATCTTCGGGGTGGAAAACTTACCGGTGAGCCAAAGTTGTGTCCAATTTCGTGCGCCAGCGTCACGTGCGAAACGGCAGGTGGAACATGCTTCCCGTAGTTCAGCAGCGTCACGATGCCGGTGTTGAGGGATTTCAGCGAACCTCGGTAGTGCTGTGCGGAAGAAACGGAAAGGAAAACAATCATTTAATATTAATATTACGCTCGTTTTCAGTTTGCGAGTTGACCGAGCGCCACTGTTGGACTAATTCCAGTAAATCGTCTTATCGGGGAGTTTGCCACGGACTGCCAACGACAAAGACCAATATTGCCTCCTCCCATCGGGACATTATCGCGAAACCGCCCCGGGACCCGTGAACGGCTGGAAAAGTACGCTCGGCAAGTAAACGTCCTTGGGAACGTTTCCAAAAACAAACACTGTTCGCTCGCTTTCTGCCCTTTGGCAAAATATCAGCATTTCGATGCGGACGAATATGGAGAGCCTTCATATTTTGATATTGCTTCCATGCTGGGGCCGGGACGACCGTCGCCATTCGCAAATCTGCCCGAGGCGAGTGACGGAAATGGAATTTGATGCTAATGGAATTTATGAAAATCATCCGGAAAAGTACTGTGGCGTGGGGAAATCTTCTTATTTTCAGCGGGAATGAGCTGGCAGCATCAACGTATCCTTTGACGTTCGTCGGTGAATAAGTATCTCGAGCAAGGTGAATATAAATAAGAGTTCTAAGCCATGTTTGATTTTTGTATCGGGTCCCCAATAAGTTTGTTGACCATTTGCTCTATTATATTATATTATTATTTGCCTATAATCTGCATTTTTTATCAATCACTAAACAAAAATCCTATCGCATATTTTACCTTCACTTCTCTATTGACGTAGGATTACGTCTTTCGGCAACATATTGGGGGTGCATTAAAAAAAACCAAAATCTACCGCGTTACGAACAGTGGTCAGGTTTTGACCACCTATAACTCTGTCAATAGCGGATGGATTTCAATTCTAAATAAACCAATCGATTGGAAATTTTTCTACGAATCTGCTAAAATGAACGCTTTTTCAATTTTCAACAGGTCACTTTTAAAAATTACTTAAATGTCTAACTGTTGCAATGGTGATCAAAGTTATCACCGCCTGCAAAATGCGCTTTCCCTAACACAGATTTCAAAATCGAATTCCATCCGGTCTCGCTGAACGGTGCTTATTCAATCACCGTGTGTGGTGGTGTCCGGTCGGTCATCAGCAGCAGCAGTGCTATTGGCGCGTGGCGTTCTACATTGTTCTGCATTACTCAACGAAAGGCTGCCCACATGAGCGTCCATTCACCGAAGAAAGAGGAAGAAGCCGCCTACTGATCGGATTCAGTAGCTCTTAGTGAGTCGCTGTGGGTCATCTATGCCAAGCGTGTCACCCTCGTTCCAAACAACATACAGCTCGCCAGTCTCATCCGTGTTGAACACCCTAATAGCTCAACCATCACGACAAAACGGTTCTTTTAAGGACCACAATAAATTATTGTTGCTTAAAAGTTAATTTTCATTGAACGTTTGCTCGCCTTTCGGCCAGCCACATCACATCCAAAGCTCTTTGATAATGGACCCAGCTACCAAACGTTTGTGGTAAAATGCGTAACAGTATTGAAGTTGTACATAGAAATTCTCGACCGAATACCACATGACCTTGTCAATTAACCAGAAACACTTCGAATTATGGTAAGGTCAATTAACCAGAAACACTTCGAATTATGGCAAGGGCGCTAGAAAAAGCAAAAACATCTCGAATTTATCGCGAATATCTCGCGAATCGAAAATTTCAGTAAGAAATTCCTCCGATCAATTTTGGATTTTTTTTTTTATTATCTATTGACTAAGCCAAAAAATCCGTGCATTTTGTGCACAAACTGCGTAATTTTGTCATCAGCAAACGAGGCGTTTCTGTGATGGGAGAAAGTGGTTTCCCTAACACAGTCGCCAAATATTGATACCGAGCACTGAGCCGGTACCTATCTTTATGCCTTTTGATGCAAATTTTAAGCCCCTCCTATTAAGAGAATTAGGCAAAACAGTTTTTTATGCATCAAATAGCATAAACGTAGGTACCGTCCGGTATGCTCAGATTCTCGATACTCTCAGTGCTTGAGGTTTAACCACAGCAAGTGCATTTTTATAAACTGTGCTTCACCATTACCATATAGCTATTTCTTCCAGGTCACGAAATCGTTAACCACATTATAATTACTGCGACAATAACCGATTAATCATTCCACAGTTCAAACAAATTCAACAATTTGGTAAATATACCGTAATAGTCCACAAAATGACGAAAACACTAGTATATAAATGTTCTTGCAATCATTTGACGGAATATCAATAATCTGTATGCAACGGATGAACACCGCTTCCTTTTTCTCCAAGAACATCAATTGAGGACTACTATGCAATCGCCCTTTACCAAACTGTTCTCCAATCGATCCAGGGGAAACGCATGAGCACCGATATCATCTCCAAGAACATCGAGGAAAGAATTCCACAGCATTGTTCTAAACTGGCTTCCAAGCTTTCAACCCATTAAGGCTTGTACTCGAAAAAAATGCACCATTTTTATTGATGAATCTACGCGAAACTGCACCAGTGCATGCGACACCTAGGTTTGAAATCCAAAACCACAAAAGTGATGATGTACTAAAAAATATTCCATACGATTTGACAGGTAACAAAACGTCATTTTCATTTTCTCATCATTTCCATCTGCTGGTCGACCGTAACGTAGATTCATCAATCCGTGTGTAACTTTTTTATCCGTGGGTAAAAATTGATGAAAATCTGGGTATAACTAGTTTGGAGTGAATTGTTTACATGTGCAAAATTTCATAACAATCGGCTCAGTGTTACTTATAAAAGAGTTAAATGGAGAGTTCAAGTAAGAGCAAGAGTATGCAAGACATATCGTCCAGGATTGGCTTGTACTATATGGACATCGACAGAGCACCTCAAAAACAGAACTCTCAAATTGCTTCCGAATTTCAACCTATCGAACTTTTTCATTGATAACGAGCGAAGAAATCAATTAAATATTTACTATACTTTTACTGTGACATCAAAACTACCTTTCGTAATCCTACGTCAAATCTACGTCATCCAAGAACACTTTGCTAGAAGTCGATTATTTTTTTTGACGTAGGACTACGTCTGTGATTTCTATATGGGGGTACACTTTGTGAAAACCGACAATGGAACATGTAACAACATTATGAAGGATCTTGAACGTTAATAATTGAGCTGCCTCTGGAGCAATTTCAATAATTTTATCACCAATCGATCAGAAATATTTCTACGCATCTGTTAAATTTAAGACCTAATCATTTTTCAAAATGTCACTATAGAACATTGCACGAATGTGCAACTGTATGATAGTAAAATTATCACCGATTGCCTGCAAAAAACGATTTCCCTAACACAGATTTCAAAGCTGAATTCCAACCGGTCACACCTGTGACATGTGAATCTTACATGTCATCAAATTCTAGAACCATGTTTGCTATCCTTATTTCCAAGAACCATTAGTTTCAAGACCACACTCGTGGGACCTTGCTTCAAATATTTTCCCAAACCAACGAACTGCATAAAGCGGTTCGATAATCGAAAACACATGTCAGCGATTCCACTTTCTGTCCATAAGGATCATATTCACATTTCACTGTTGCCAAGGACGCTCTAGTGATTTGTTACCAAGCAGTTATTAACGCCTTCTCCATTGCATACGCCATTCTCTCAGTTTAACACACTCTCTCAATTCGAATGACGATCACCGATTGGTGATCGCTTACATAATGCAGGAGTAAATAACTCGACTTCAGATGTCTCCCGTAGGTAATGTTGTATTTCAGTTGATTCAAATAAAGCATTAACGTTTAAACCGTCAACGAAAACGTTTCGTTCATTAAGGAGTATCACTATCCCTGTTCTGGGCAAGTTACCCAATTGAAAGGACATTACACACCAAACGGTGTTTATTCAATCACCGCGTGGGACCTCCCTTAGCTCAGTCGGTAAAGGCGCAGCTACAAAGCAAGACCATGCTGGCGGTGGCTGGGTTCAATTCCCGGTCCGGTCTAGGAATTTTTCGGGTTGGAAAATTTCTCGACTTCTCTGGGCATAGAAGTATGATTGGACTTGCCACACAATTATACCAATGCAAAAATGGTACAGGCATCGAAAGCTCTCAATTAATAACTGTGGAAGTGCATCTAGAACACTAAGTTGAGAGCACACAATAAGCTAATATGCGATATGAAATAAGCTTGAAATGCGAAGAAGAAAAAGAAGAAGAAGCGTGGTGAGTGGTGGTGTTATCCAGTACACAATGAAAGGCTCCCTGCAAGCAGCTAGCTGTCAAGGCTGGCCTCAATCACTGAAAGGATTCAATTCCAATCACCATATGTGGTGGTGTCCGTTCGGTCGTCATCATCTGCAGCAGCAGCAGTGCTTTCGGCGCGTGGCGTTGAACATTGTTTTCCAGTTCACAACGAAAGGCTGTCCGGAAGCAGCGAGCTGCAGCCCACATGAGCGTCTATTCACCAAAAAAAGAGGAAGAAGCCGCACCGCTACTGATCGGATTCAATAGCTCTTAGTGAGTTTCTGTGGGCCATCTATGCCAAGCGCGTCACTCTCATTCAAAATAACAACCAACCTCATCTGTGTTTAACACCCTAATAGCTCAGCATTACTCAACCACCTCGAGATGGACCACCATAAATTTGTAAAAGAGTATTTTTGGTCAAGGTCATCATTCGGTCAGTTCCCATATCAAGAGAGAGATGGAATTAGGGCGTAACAGCTTTTGTAAACAATGACTTCTCTCGATGATTTTTAGGAATTCAAGGCACTCCCACGCAAATTAACATTACCGTCGTGTAGGGGAAGTCTTACCCTACCTTATGGTAACGTTAATTTGTTTGGAAGAGCCTTGACTTTCAAGGCATCATTGAAATAAGTCATTGTTTACAAAAGCTGTTACGCCCTAATTCCAGCCCTATCTTGATATGGGAACTAACCGATTGATGACCCTGACAAAAAATACTCTTTTACAGAGCTTTCGATGCCAATACCAATGCATGAATTTGTATATTGTGTGACAAGCACAATGATACTCT